AGACTCCTAACTCTGGGAAATGAACTAGGAGTGGTGGAAAGGGAGGAGGGCGGGGGTGGGGGTGAATGGGTGACAGGCACTGAGGGGGGCACTTGACGGGATGAGCACTGGGTGTTATTCTGTATGTTGGCAAATTGAACACCAATAAAAAATAAATTTATAAAAAACAAAACAAAACAAAAAAAACATAGGTTGAGGGGCACCTGGGTGGCTCAGTGGTTGAGGATCTGCCTTTGGCTCAGGTCCTGATCCCGGGGCCCTGGGATCAAGTCTCGCATTGGGCTCCCCACGGAGAGCCTACTTCTTCTTCTGCCTATGTCTTTGCCTCTCTCTGTATCTCTCATGAATAAGTAAAATCTTAATAAAAAGGGGCAGCCCGGGTGGCTCAGCGGTTTAGCGCCACCTTCGGCCCAGGGCGGGGATTGAGTCCTGCTTCGGGCTCCCTGCATCCTACACGGAGCCTGCTTTTCCCTCTGCCTGTCTCTGCCTCTCTCTCTCTCTCTCTCTCTCTCTGTCTGTCTCTCATGAATAAATAGATAAAATCTTAAAAAAAAAAAAACATAGGTCGAACATGGGCCAGTTCCACTGTTAAGTCCCAGCTTAACAAAGTTAAACTTTGTTTTTCCACTTGAAGAATGTATATAGCACTTTTCTATATATTTTCACGCATTGAAACTGGACTTGGTATAACTATATTACAGGAAAGCAGAAATTGGATTGGGGTTTCCTGTCTTTGTTTTCTGTAATTCTACAAAGTTGAAGCTTAAGCTTATTTCATTGGTACAGAGGAAAAGTGGGTTGATCCACAAGGAATCAGATTCCCCATGTGGAGCAGCTTCCAGTGGCCTTCCATGTTGTGTGCTCAGGTACATAGTAAACACTGCAGTACTATGGGGGCTAATGTGTAGGTATTTGTAAACATCTTGCCACAATTGCATATTTTTTGCATTTTTGCCTGATGGCATTGTTTTTTATAATAAAACCTTTTCTGATTGAAAACTTAAAAAAAAACCCATATGCTGGGATCACATGAGAGAGTATATATAAACCATCTTAGTAGAGTTGTGCTAACAAAGAATCATCCTTTCATTGATACTCTAGAGTCACATTCTAGATTCTTTTCTTTGTCTTCAGATCCCGATGCAAAAGCAGGGTTGCCTCAACTATCAGGAGGGTCTGCTTGTCCTTATTCACGTAGACTCAGGTCTGTCAGCATCTTCCTCCAAGCAGAGCAAGGCCATGGGCAGCTTTTGGGATCACCAGTGTATCAGTAGCACTGAAATACATGTAGACTAGATACTGCTCTTTCTTTCCCCGGGTTTCCACCATGGCGGCTCTGTTTCCACTCTGTTGTATGCCCTAAAAGAACTTTGGCATTTGCTGAAAGGTCATCGGTTGCAATTTTAGATCATTGGGTAACTCGAACTTCTAACATTTAAGTGTAGCTGCGAAGGGGTATGATTGCTGTCAGCATGGGCCAGATGGTGGCAGAAATAGCAGACCGGGACTCCCCTGTTCCCTTTATGGATGAGTCATTGACCACTTATAAATAACACTAGCCAACACCTCTTCCTCCCTGTCTTCAAATTCTCCAGCCTTCTGCTTATTCTTAACATCTGCAGTGCACCAAGCACAGAGCTTCTCCAAGTAGTTGCACTGAAGCACTGGTGGGTTGGTTTCACTTCCAATCTCTTGTTAACAGATACTTTTATAAAACATAATATAAGAATTACAGGAAAGGCCAATGAAGAAAGTTATTGTTTAAGCAGAAATTCAATTGGGGGAGATGAAACAGTTCTGGAGATGGATGGTGATGAGGGATGCACAACACTGTGAGTGTATTTGATGCCACTGCACTGCATGCTTAAAATGGTAAAATAAACAAAAAAACAAACCTGGAAAAATGAAAATAAATAACAATTTACAAATAAAAACAATAACAAATAAAAAACAATTACATGCAAAATGTGAGCCCTGATTTTTTAGTGTTAGGTTATAATTTCATTTAAATTTAAATCATATTTGACTGCTAGATTTAAATCACATTTTAATATAGTCAGAGCAAACATAACATAGGAAAATTGCTATAGAAATTTCTAAATACGTTCAATTTTACTCCTAACTTTGTCATGGACTGGTACTGTGTGCAGACTGTCCATGGTCCATTTTATATTTTGTTCTACAGTAAAATGGATTTTTAAAAAATGTACAGTTATTTGAGTTTAACACACATATAGATTCGAATTGCCATCACTAAAATTAGGATATGGAACAGTTCTATTGGGTATAAAATCCCTCCCTTGTCCTAACCCTGCTCATACCCTCAGGCCCTGGTAACCTTGGAATTGTTTTTATATTATATTTATTAATTTTATCTTTTCAAGATATAAACAGAATAATACCTATATAGTCTTTGAGACTGGGATCTTTCACTTAGTTTAATGCCTTTGAGATTTGTCCCAGGGCTGTATGTAACAAGTTTGTTCCTTTTTATTGCTGTATACTATTCCATTTTATGGATCTACTTCAGTTGGTTTATCCATTCACTGAAGAGCAGATGGGTTTGCAGTCTCTGACATTATCAATAGAGCTACTATAAATATTCATAAATGGGTATTTGTGTGAATAGCCACAATCATTTCTCTAGGGAAGATGTGAAGGCCCTCATTCCACACCACCATGTAGGAAATCCTTTGATGTCAATGTTGTATTTCAAAGGAAACCTAAGAACTAATAACCAAGACACTCTCTTGGCCCAGGACATCCAGCCACTGCTCTTCCTGTAATTATGTCAGAAAAATCATTGTTGATCTCTCGCTTGAAAAACAAAACAGGGCTGTCCCGGTGGCTCAGCAGTTTAGTGCCGCCTTCAGCCCAGGGCATGATCCTGGAGACCTGTGATCGAGTCCCACGTCGGGCTCCCTGCCTGCTTCTCCTTCTGCCTGTGTTTCTGACTCTCTCTCTCTGTGTCTCTCATGAATAAATAAATAAAATCTTAAAAAAGTATATTATAAAAAAAAGAAAAACAAAACAGATTAACTTTGTTAATGGCAGTAGGACATGGCAAGATCAAAGATATCCCCTTCTATAGTTCTTACAATTCCCTGAAGCTCTCAGTAAAGAAAGAGAGCTTTCTGGTTTAGATCCTGGAGATGTCAAAATTAGAATAATCTGACAGGGCAGTTCCCCTCATACAGCTGTATCTTACTGAAGGCCTCACACAAACATGTGCACAAAGATACAGAAACTTGTTGAAGCATTGTTTCAAGAGTGAGCATTTCCAAAATAATCTAACAGTCCACACACTGCAATGCAGTATATCTCTGTACCGATATGGATGTATATTTCTAAGATATTTTGCTATGGTAGCCACATTAGGTTGGTTGGTCCATGGAATACCAGTGCCCAACCCTTGTAGCAAGGGGTCACCACAGCTCAGAAATCTGGCCAAAGCTATGTAGGTAGAAGTCCACTGGTGTGTGTGTGTGTGTGTGTGTGTGTGTGTGTGTGTCTGGGGGGGCTGTGTTTTGGGGAAACATTTCTTTTCTAAAAAAGGGAACTGATGTGATTGGTAGATTGGAACACCTTTCTCCACTCTTTGGGTCTTCAATGTGGGTTAGATGTTCAGAATGGTGATTGCCATTTTGTGCTCTTGAGATGTCTTACCTTGGAGGCAGAAGCCAGATGACCAAGGATAACAGAAGAAGCAGAAGTGCCCCTAGTGGAACCCTTGAATAGCTAAGTAAATGCCAGCAGCTACCTCCTAGTGAACTGAAGAGAAAATATGAGAAAAATACCCCCCCCACATATCTAAATCATCTGAGTTTTCTCTTACTTGCAGCTAAATGCATTCTGATCGAAACAATTGTCAAAGGAAAAAAAAACATTGCAGAGCAATGTGTATATTCTTCTATTTTGCAAAATGTACACATAATCGTTATATATGCATCTAAAATAGTTATATATCCGTCTAAAAATTATAACAATAGTTATATACACATCTAAACTCCATGTACACGTAATACACATACATCTAAAATAGTTATGTATTTATCTATAATAGCTAACAGACACTAAGTACATACTATGTGCCAGGTTCATCTTACTGCTTTTAATTCTGACAACCATTCTATCAGGTAGATGTTTTACTGCTGTTCCCATTTACAAGAGAAGAAATTGAGGCTTCAGTAACTTTCCCAGGACAACTAGCAGATAACTAGCTTGGGACTCAGTGCCAGGTCTGTGTAGCCCTAGAGAAAGTTCTTGATCTACCCTATGCAGGTCCCCAGCAGTGCCTATTGCCAACACAGACTCTCACCAGCTCAGCTAGTTCTAGAGAGTAGATTGGGGGCTGGGCTGGTGGTAAGGACTCTCATGTTTCTTTATGTTCTTCTCTAGTGTTTCCATTCAGTAAGCAGGTGGTATTTTTGAATTCAAAGCACAAATCTAGAGGCATTGATAAAACAACCCTGATGTGAAGCACCATGCTAGGAATGTAATTTTCTTCTTCTAGTTTTGATATCTATTATAGATAACCCAGTCAGTCATACGTGCTTTTTGGAAATAAAAAGCACCTTCTCCAAATGCTTATAAAAGACTGCAGGCTAAGAGGTCCCAGGATTGCCATTATTTTATTAGGTGACCTATACCCCAGATAAGATATCTGCCAGTGTGCCACTGGGGAATTAGGTTCTGCAGGAGATACATGTAAAGCCTTCCAAGTCCTTGAATGCGACGGTTTTGTGGATCATTGTTTTTAGTGGCTGGATTTCTTTTCTCCCACCACTTACTTAATAATTGCCTCCTAGGATCTTTAAAGAAAAAAAGGTTCATCAAGAGAAAGCAGGTGTATGTTTCTGGGCTGCCTGATTCTATTTACGGCTTGCTTGTGGTGCTTTGGCAGCCTTCAAAATCAGGCTCACCAGAGAGGTTTCCTTGAAGGCTTGCCCAGTTATCTGAATCACGTGGGTTGGGGCACCTTTTCCTTAAAGGTCCTGGCAGGGCTCGCAGACACCAGCTCAGACACCGAGGAGCCCCAGGCTGCAGAGATAAACAAGCCTCCCTGGGAGAAAAGAAGGATTTGGAGTTACCCGCCGCGATGTCGGACAGAAGCCCCTTCGAAACAGACATGCTCACCCTGACCCGCTACGTTATGGAGAAAGGGCGTCAGGCCAAAGGGACGGGGGAGCTCACACAACTGCTGAACTCCATGCTGACGGCCATCAAAGCCATCTCCTCGGCTGTGCGCAAGGCCGGCCTGGCCCACCTGTGAGTCTGGGGGAGCAGGAGCCGCCCTGGCACTCAGGGGCTCGGGCCTGGGCCAGCTCGGTGGCAAAAGCCATTTGCCCCTGTGCCCTGGAGGGAAGGTGCTTTCAAAGTTTCTGACTTTGATAAAGGGGCTTTTGACTTGTTCGAGAAAGGAACAAAAATCCTTGGGAGACGTGATATGGAGAAAAAAAATACACGTTTTCTTTTTCCTTTTTTTTTTTATATGTAACTTTTCCAGTTGCAATGTATTATAATGATGATAAGCTTAGGGGCTGGTTGCATTAAAGACATAGATTGAATTATTGTGACTTGTCTCTTGTGGCACAAAGAAACAGCGAGGAAGACTTACTTCGCTTTATGCTCTTAGCAGATACGAGCCATTTTATTGCTGTGAACTCTGTCGATGTGCTCAGGCTAGGAATCATTTACCAAATAACTTCCTGTCCTGGAGGTCCAGGCTTACTATGGAAAGGAGTTTTTGCTTTTAAGACAATTTTTAAACTTCTTCTCGGTGACTCTTTATCTTCTTCTCTAGTTGGTGTGCAGCAAGCTGGAAGTGTTCTGTGTCTCTAGGAGGAGGGAATGCAGAGCGTTCTTCTGCTTTGTTCTCTTCCATACTCTGTCTAGGCACAGAACGAGGCCACATTCATGCTACAGCTGCTGACTGTCACAGCTGCTGGCCTTAAAAAATAAGTCTGTTATTTTACCAGTAAAGACTAGTTTATTGGAGAATAATAGAGAATTGCAATATGGGACAAGCAAGCTATGCCAAAAACCACAGGCTGGTCTAACAAAGGAAAAGATTATTTATGGAGAAGGAAATTGGCAGGGGTTGTTTTGAACAAAAGTAAAAAGAAAGGGTTCAGGGCCATCATGGTTTCTTATTGGCTGAGTCGCTGGGGTAGTTAGCTACTTGTAGGAGATGCAATGTAGGTCTTCCCCTGTAGACGCCTGAAATTGATGATTTCCTGAAGGATTCTTCTTTTGGGGTCTGGACTTGACAACACTTCCTGCAATGACCTCCAGTGGCACAGTGTGAGGGCTCCCCCTCCTGGCTCAATTTTAGTAAGGTTTCCCTTTTTCAATTTTCACACAGCCCAGTGTCCGGTTTAGATCTGCAATAAAAAGAAGCTTTCTCTGGGGTTCCATTTTCTTTGTAGCAATTCCAATGAAGGTCCTCTCAAAAGTTGAAGGGACTTGTTATTATCATTCCTTCAAAATGAGGAAATAACAGAATCTAATGATTTAAAATATTAATTCTTAACAATTATGTTCTTTTAACAACACATAAATTTGGTAGAATTATGGAGTGCCTGGGTGGCTCAGTCGGTTAAGTGTCTGACTCTGATCTCAGCTCAGGTCTTGATCTCAGGGTCATGAGTTCAAGCCTGGTGTTGGGCTCCACACCAGGAGTGGAGCCTACTTAAAATGGAGCGTTTTGATTGGCTTTCCTCACTCTCTGTTTATTGCTGTAACTGTATTATCACCTCATTCAGTGTTAATGGCCAAGCTCTATGCTTAAGGACCTCCATGATGCGAGGTGCAGCCATCTGTCTCTGCCTGCTCCTACCAGGTCATGGGCCGTGCTGAATGACACTAAAAAGTGACTTTTCCTGTCCCCAGATATGGGCCCTGCTATGCTTAGAGCCATTTTCTGGGCATCTCCAATGCTTGCTGACACTTCAGTATTATTCACCCACCTTCATGTGCTCTTCCTCTGTTCTGGATGCAGTGGCTGCAGTGATAGGGTTGTACTAATCAGCCTCAGAACTCTAACTTTGTGACTATTGAGTGTCCAGATGAAGTGGACTCAGGAATTGGATAATAGGGTGTTCATCGAAGTTGGGGCTCTTCCTTCCATGTGATTGTCTACTCTTGCCAGGACTCAGTTTCCCACTTGTAAAATGGTGGGGAAGTTAACAGCCCCCAACTTCTAGGGGGGTTGTAAGGCTTAGTGAATCCCTGAGATGTAGATTTCAACAGTGCCAGATCCATAATAATACATGTTCAGTAGATGCTCATTTTTACACTGGTTCCAAGCCCAGATCTGGGGAAATTTGCCAGCTGTCTGGTCCATGCTGCCGATTGTCCACTAGGTGACAGGTGCAGCCCGTGAATCTAGACGTCAGACTCCACCTTTCAGCTCCACCTTCAGCTCCCCCCGGGCTGGGGGAGTCCCATGGCCTCCTAATTCAGATGACACCCTTCTCCTGGTCCCTCGGTAAGAAACACCAAAATGGCACTGTGAGAAACCTATTGTCTGGAAAGTCCTTCTTCCTAACAAAATGCTGAGATTATTTTAACAGGACCCTGGAATTGCTTCACACCAGAAGGTAGGCTCTCTGTCCTAGAGCAACTCTGCTCATGAATATGGGACTTTCACAGACTCCCGCCCCTTTCCCATTCTGGGGGCCCTCAAGCCCCTCAGTCTTTTGCTTCCTTTTTTTTTCTGGGAAAAAGCACAAACTCCATGGATGCAAAAGGGATCAGAAATTTTCAAGTTTTTTCTTCTTTTTTTGTCTGCTCATTGCTGTAGGAAGAAGGGACTGCTAGAATGCTTCTCCTGGAAACATCTTCATGGTTTTCTACTGTCCAAGTGGTAGGATATGCACTTAAAAATTGTCACTGAAGCTTTAATATTAGTTAAAATGCTACAAGATATTGTCCTGCGGGATATAAAGCCCTCTTACCTCCATGACCTAACTCAGAGCAGTTGTCAGACAATTAGACCTCATTATGGATGAGCTCCCATTCTTTCTGGAAGGAGGGGTTTGATGGAGGTTAAGGTTAGCACCTGGAGGAAGGCCCTCAGTCAAGGAAGAGGGTGGGAATAGAGTTGTCCCCTGCTTAGGGTAGATCATTAGTCTCAATCCTGGCTGCCTGTTAGAACCACTTGAGGATTCCTTCGACAAATAAATGGCATTAAGAAAAGGAGAAGTAGGAAAATTACTTTCCTGCCATGCCTTCTTCACAATTCAGTGAACATGTATTGAGCATCTACTATGTCCTTGGACACTATGGAAACCAGGACAGAAGGCCGCTGTTCTAGGATTCAGTGGGCAGATAATCCAGCAGGAAAGGTATTCCCATGAACAGATTGGGAACTGCTGTGGAGGAGATGACTAGGGGCGTGCCTGGTGTGTGGTGAGACCAGGGAAGCTTTCAGAAGGAATCAGGAGGAAGAGTTGGAAGAAGCTGATGGTTAGCAGACAGCATTCCTGTGGGAGGAACACCCATGAGTGAGGGTGAGAAGGAGAGGAGCAGTTTTCTGGGTGCTGGTGGCAACAGGACCTTTGTGGCAGTTGAATTGAAAAAGGCTTGAGTGGGGTAAGAGCCACGCCACCTTTGGAGAGAAGAGTGTGGGGGTAGGGCAGCAAGCCCAGGGGTGCCAGTAAGGCAAGTGTGGTGGGGCCTTAAGCCCATGTAGGAATGCTGGGTGAGACCACAGTGATCTGGCTGGCATGTGAGAGGGATCCTGCCCATGATCGTGGAAGGTGGGAGATCTTTGCAGACCGGTGTTCTAAAACATAAAGCTAGCTAGAGTTTTTCTTACCTTGCTCAAATGGTGGTGAAGAATGAAATCAGTTAAATCTGTCCCCAAGTTTCCTTCCTAAGTAATGCAAACATACCACAAGGCAATTTTTCATCCTGCCCACCAGGCCTAACCACTGGAGGGTCATCAACAAATACTTGCAATTTCAGCCCCAGAAAGCCACAGGCCTTGACTCTTTGGGGTCAGGAATGCAGGCAATGTGTCTGACTTTATGAGCTAGCTCTTCCCTTCACTTCCCACTGCCAAATGCAGGTTTGTATTTTATTACGATTGAATCCTGGTTAGCATCATTGTGAGAAGAAGGGAACCTGACAATATCCCTGGGGTGTGAGGCAGCAAGGGTGAGAGTCACTGCTGGGGGACATGTTATACTTGGTCTGTACAATGTGGAGACTCCATGGCCGTGAAGGGGGTGGTGGGATGCAATGATGGTGTCTTAGCATTTGGACTTTGCTGGAGTAGGGATTCCTTCATTCAGACCTTCCTCTTCTTAGGTATGGAATTGCGGGAACTGTGAATGTGACCGGGGATGAGGTGAAGAAACTGGACGTGTTATCCAATGCCCTGGTCATCAACATGCTGCAATCCTCCTACAGCACCTGTGTCCTGGTTTCGGAGGAGAATAAAGATGCCATCATCACACCCAAGGAGAAGAGGGTGAGTGTGGGGCCCACACGCAGATCCCCCTTCACCAGTAGGTGGTACGACTGAGTTGGGAAGACGTTTTGGTTTTCTTGCTTTTCTGTAGTTTCTGAGATTTTCTTCTATTCCTTAACTTTTGTTTTCTTTTGGAAAAAAAATGGGTTGCATACTTCTTTAGTTAGAAGTCTTAGGCTGTCTAGTGAAAAAAAAGTTCCATAATGAGGTGATTCATTTAGGAAATAAATCAAAGTAATTTACTGAAAATGCCTCAGCAGGTGGAGTTCATGGGTTTTTGCTTCATGTGCTTGGAACAAGTGCTGCATTTTTTTTTTTTTGTGGCTTCAAAATCATCAAGTCCAATAAAAAGTAGAGTTCCTGGGGAGAGCAGGAACTGCTCCACTCCACTTCTATTCCCCATCTCACACTTCTCAAGGGGGCTCTGGTTTCAGCAGAGATTTCTTCATGCCTGACAAGCTGTTAAACTCATGTAGGAAAGAAATCATAAAGATTGTGTCCTCTTGCCTTCATACATTGGCAAACTTGCTCAGTGCAGGGCATGACCAGGGAGGGTCTTTAGTCATTCTGGTTTCATAAACAATTCATTAAAGACAGGTTTGCTGGTGGCCAAAAATTCAATCCATGTTCAGCTGTGATACAAAAGAAATACTGAGACTGGTCCTTGTTTTATACATTGGGTGTTGAAGACCATTTCTTCATAATTAGCTGAGTGTATGGAAGAGGTAAAGCCAAATTTATTAAACACCTGTTGTAAACCATGGACTGTGCAAAGTACTTTACTCTCATCTCCTACAATTTAAACTAGATTACACTGATTATTTTCAACATTTAGTTCCCACCGACATGCCCCTGATCGTCTCTCCGATCTAATCTATCACTTTCTTCCCCAGTTGGCCTATCTACATAGGTCTTAGTGCTAGTTTTTTTTTTAAATTTTTATTTATTTATGATAGTCACACACACACACACAGAGGCAGAGACATAGGCAGAGGGAGAAGCAGGCTCCATGCACCGGGAGCCCGATGTGGGATTTGATCCTGGGTCTCCAGGATCGCGCCCTGGGCCAAAGGCAGGCGCCAAACTGCTGCGCCACCCAGGGATCCCCTTAGTGCTAGTTCTTGAACATTTTCCAGCATATACTAGATATTCAACAGACATCCATTGAGTGAATGCATGCATGAATGAATGGGCTCAGTTGAATTATCTACAGGGGGAATGGGGAATTTCCAAATTTATGGATTATCCCACTTTTTAGCCTACCTTCACCCCCATTGAGGAAGGAATAAAAAAGAAAGAAAGGTCAGCTTAAGCTAGGGCATTACTCACCAAAAGTCAGGGAAAAGTAATTTCAGTGGTTAGGAGAAATGATTCCCATCTAACTTGATATTATTTTACCTGTGTTTAATTAGCCAGGAGACTCTGACCCCATCACTAAAGTGCTCCTGGAACCTTGCACATAGGAGGCCTGTAAAAAGTATCTGGTGTTTTCCATGGAATGTCAGCTGGAACAGTCCGTGGCAGCAGTGTGGGTGGGCTAGAACGATCCCACTCACTCTGTCTTCTGGTCTTTGCATAGGGCAGGTGGGTTGAATGCAGCAAAGCCTAGGACTTTTTTATTCCCCTGACTACTTATGCATACTAGCACTCTTAATAAGACAGATCCAGAGGCCCTGGGGCATTGTTCTGAGATTTTCCAGTCTTTTGGCAAAAACATTCCAAAATGAGGAAAGGCTATCTGCAGAGTGGTTCAGAAAGAATCATGAATAAATCCGTAACTGACCTTCCCATGGGTATGGGTAGAGCTAGCCCAGGTTTATCTTCAGCTTCTCCACCTCTTCTGGGCCAGGTGCCACTTTCAGACCTGGTTTCTTCTCACACCTCCAGCAGCTCTGAGCTCCCAGTGTACCCACACAAGAGGGGAGGGTGGTGCCAGAGGAGGCCTGGAGTTGGATGGGACCTCAGTCGCCCCATGTGGGCATCAACTCATCAGTCTATGGGCAGGTTGGCCTGAGCTCATGATTCATAGATGCTGATACACTTTGCCATCCTCAGGTAATTATATTTTTTGATAAGGATATCCTTTTGCTCTAAATCACTTTTTGATATAGTGTTACCTGCTGTGTACAGACATTTACAGAGTGTGTTGTTTGGAAGGGAACCAATCAGGTGGCTCTTCCCTCTGTGCATTTAGGGGAAGTATGTGGTCTGCTTTGACCCATTGGATGGATCTTCAAACATTGACTGCTTGGCCTCCATTGGAACCATCTTTGCCATCTATAGAAAGGTGAGTAGATAGTCTGATCTTTAATGCCCCTTCCCTCTGGTAGTTTCTGGAAGGTTCCTGGGCTGGGAGTCACAAGGTTGGAGTTTTAGCCTTTGTCCTCCCACTAAACAGACACACCACTGTAGGCAAACTATAACTCGCTCTGCCTTGGGATCCTCACTGGAAGAACTGATCTGGTCCTTTTCCAACTGCCTTCTTTACCACACTGGTGGGAAGGTAAGGTAAGATGACAGATGGGGCCTGGGTTTGGAGATGGGGATGTGACACAGATATCAGACATAGTATTAGGTTCCTGGTGGTATTTGAAGACTCACTCTGTTTCTTCATTATGTTTCTCAAATCTTACTTAGCCATGCACTTAGAGGCTTAAAGCAATGACCATTTATTATCTACCATTTTGTAGGTCAGAAGTCTGACAAGCATGGCTGGGTTCCCTGGTCAGGGTCTCATAAGGCCAAAATCTGTGTTTCAGCCAGCCTGGCCTCCTCCTAAGAGGCTGGGGGTGGGGGAATTAGCTCCGATGCTCATTTAGGTTATTGGCAGAGTTCAGTTCCATTCCTGTTATAGGTTGGAAGTCCTTGGCTTTTTGGGCTGATTGATGCTGTGGCCATTCTCAGCTTCTAGAGGCTTCCTACATTCTGTGGCTTATGAGTCCTATGTCCTCCAAGGGGGCAAAGGCAGGCCAAGTCTTTGTCAGACTTCTAATCTCTCTGATATCCCCACATTGCATCTCCCCTGCTCTCAACCATAGAAAGTTCTCTGCTTTTGAGGACTCATTTGATTTGGTTGGGCCCATCTGCATAATCCATGATGAGCTCTCTATTTTAAATTGGTTACCCTAATTACATTTGCAAAGTCCCTTGTGCCACATAATGCAACACAGTCACCTATTCTAGAGATTAGGATCTCTTTGAGGAGTTTCACCTACCCCACATACCTAACAACAGCAAATATCTTATGGGTTGGTTTGTGACCATCCAGTATCACCAGAGACTTAATGTCAAACCACATTATCTAGATCTCACACAAGATAAACGCAATAGATCTCAATTTGAGGATCAGTCCTCACTCCAATCAAAATGGCTGGGCCTCTGGCCTGGGGCTTTCAGGCGGAAGGAAGACCTAGGGTGCTGGATGGTCTTAAGGCTTGTTCAGTTGGGTAATCTGCCCTCCAGTCTGGTGTTAGAGGCCCATACTCATGTCTCTGGCTTGATAGTACACATTCTTTCCACTAAACTGCTTGTGATCAAACAAATTGCAAGCATCACTGATTTTCTACACTACGATTTGGCACTAATTCTATAATGTGCATGTAATTAGTTTTCTCTGAGTGTTTTTCATAGTACTCTTAGATGATAAATAAGGAGGAGAATTGGGTCTGTCCCATGTCACCTAATGTGTTGTCTGTAGATGTTGCTATTGCAAGATATTTTTGCCTGGCTGATGGTTGTCCAAAGAAATGGGCCAGAATTTGATTTTTGGAGGCAAAAGCTTAGCAGAAAAGTAACTGTAGCAGGATATGTGAGTTAGTCTAACCTTTTTTTTCTGAGGAGAAAATCAAGAAGCAGGCCTGGGCTCTGCTACTTCTGTTTTGGAGAACCAGATGGAGGCCAAGCCAGCCTAGACTGGGAGGAACCTCTGAGAATTTTGCTTTCCCAGTTGATGCTTCTCTCTCTCTCTTTTTTTTTTTTTTTGCAAAGAGAGAAAAGGAGACTTCTGCTGAAGGAGCAGGAGAGAATGACCCAAGACACATTCTCTGCTATTTGAGAAAGTGAAAGACTAAGATGAAGTTTTGAAATTAGGCAAAAATGAGCTAGGTGAATAAAGGAGCTTTGCTTCTCCCTTTGAGGTACAGCTTAGAGATAAAAATAAAGAGATGGATGGTGTGATCTTTTGGAGTTTCTGGAAAAAGACCCAGTTGTACCTTCCAGGTGGTTTTAAACATTGGCTTTTTCATTATGGCTAATACTATGGACTGCTGAGCATGAGCCTGGCACTGTTGTGCCCATCTGTAAGCATAGTGCTCCTGGGTCAGTCCTTGCCTCAGCCTGTGAGGAAGGTGTTCATACTGCTATCACTTTTTTACTGGTGAACAAATGGAAGCACAGAGAAATTAAGTAACTTGACTAAAATCACCAGTTAGTACATGGCAGGTCAGGAGTTCAAACTGGCTCTCCAACTCCACCATCCACAGCTCTTAATAGCTTCTCACTCCCCTCCAGTTCTGTTGAGATATAGTTGATATATAGCATTGTATTAAAATAGGTGAACAACATAATTATTAGATTTGATAGTATACACACACATATGGTGTATATACATCTATACCATAGTATACATATGGTATACATACATATATACATACATATGTATATGTGTGTGTGTATATATATGGTAAGATGATCACCACAGTAAGTTTGGTTAACATATTACCTCACATAGTTAAAAAAATAAATATTTTTTTTTCTGGTCATGAGAACTTTTATGATCTGCTCTCATAGCAACTTTCAAATGTATAATCAGTATTGTTAGTCACCATGCTGAGTCACATTACATCCTTAGGATTTATTCATCTAATAACTGGAAGTTTGTACCTTTTGGCCACCTTCACCCATTTGCCTCTCACCCTTCCACCCTTGCCTGTGGCAACTACCAATATGTTCCTAGAAAAAAAAAAACATAGGATATCTATCTTCATGCCTATGGGGAAGGTAAGTGTTTCTTCAACAAGAGATAGAAAGCAATAACCATGAAAGAAAAGGCTAATGAACTGTAGTTCATTAAAATTAAGAGCTTTTGTTCATCAGAAGACAAAATTAAGAGAGTAAAAAGGTTACTACAGATTGGCAGAAAAGATTTTCACATATTTCCAACAAGGGACTCCTACGCAGGATAAATAAAGAACTTCTACAATTGAAAAAAACCCCACTGATCTAATCAAAGGGATGAGCAGACTTGAACAGACTAAAGAGATTTTTTTCCCACAACTGGCTAATAAGCACAAGAGAGATGCTCAACATCATTGGTCATTAGGGAAATGGACATTAAAACAATGAGACATCATTCATCCCCACAAAAATGGCTAAAATGAAGAGTGCATACCAAGTGTTGATGAAAACACTGGAATTGTTGTACATTGTTGGTAGGAATAAAAAATAACACAAACACTTTGGAAAGTTGGGATGGCACCTACTGATGGTAAACATTAGGGTCCAGCAAGTCCACTCCTGGTACACACCAAAGGTAATTGAGTGCTCATGTCTGCCCAAAGACATGTGACAAATGATTCATAATAATATTTCCCCTGACGGGAAAACAAAGCCCAAGTGTGTATCAATATTAGAATGGATAATTGTGGCATATTCATACAACAGAAAGCTACATAGAATGAAAAAGAACAAAAGACTGTGGTGTGCAAAAACACAGATAAAATTGCAAAGACATATTGTTGTGAAACATAAGCCAGATACGAAAGGACACATGCTTTGTGATTTCATTTATATGAAGTTCCAAAATGGGCAAAGGTGATTATCTTTTTGTTGTCAACATGAGAAAGGGCAGTGTAGAAGTTACATTTGGGGGAGGTGATAATGATTGAGGAGGGCACAAGAGTCTGCTAGCTTGTCGGAAATGTTCTATAAATTTATCTTGGTAGTTACATAAGTATATACTACACATATGTGAAAACTCACTGAGCTGTACAGTTCAGATTTGTGTTCTTTGCTATGTGTAAGATACCTCAATTTAAAAAAAAATCTACTTTTCCACACAGTGAGCCTTTGCAATTGCCATTAACTTTACTGGTAAGCAACCATGGGATGCATCCCTTCCTTACATGTGACAGATTTAGATATTTTATTGGGGTATGAAGAAATAAAAAGGCCAGAGAAAGAGAACACCAGATCATTTGTAAACTACTCTGAGATTTTCTGAGAAGAGTGTCATAGCAATAGACATGACTAATATGAAGTAGATTTTTGAAATCTCAAAACCAGAAAAAATGAGCCTTTCTTTTTTCCATGCACTGAAAAAAATTACAAATGGGCTAATGAATTTTGTGGAGAGATGGAGGATGAAACTAGAAACAAAACATAGGAGACTATTAGCCTGGCCTTGTCTTGATGTAGGAGAAATTATATCTAACTGTAAAGACAAGAGAAGAAAATAATATGGGCTGTAATGAATAATTTTAATTACCAAAAAATTGCACTGTAAAAGAAAAGGACACTGTAAATACAATTAAAAAGCGATGGCACTTGGGGAAAATAAGTAAACACATATAAGGTGTTACTGTCTTTCAATGTAAAAGGGTATTAATATAAACAACAAGTGGGACGCTTGGGTGGCTCAGTGGTAGAGTGTCTGCCTTTGGCTTAGGGAGTGATCCTGGGGTCCTGGGATGGAGTCCCACATTGGGCTCCCTGCATGGAGCCTGCTTCTCCCTCTGCCTGTGTCTCTGCCTCTCTCTCTGTGTGTCTCTCATGAATAAATAAAATCTTTTAAAAAAATAAACAAGAAGACAAATACCCTGAGAGAAAAATACACAAAGACTTGAAATGGGCAACTTACAAAATAAGAAATAAAAATGGACAAGAAGCTTATGAAGTTTATATTTTTAACTATAAAAAATGGAAATTAAAACAAAAGAAATATAATTTTTTTCAGCCATCAAATAGGCTAAGATGAAAATAATAGTGCTCTCTTATGTTCATCAGATTGAATTAAAGCAAATGCTTTGGGGTGCCTGGGTGGCCAGTTGGTTAAGTGTCTGATTCTTGATTTTGACTCAGGCCATGACTACTGAGCGTGGAGCCTGCTAAAAGGTCTTTCTCTTCTTCTCCCTCTGCCCCTCCCCACACCCAACCCCACTCTAACTCATGTACATACTCTCTCTCTCTCAAAAAAAAAAACAAATGTTTTTATCACTCATGGTAATGTTATAAGTTAATACAATTTTTCTGAGGGACAACTTTTCAATGTGTATCAATAGTCTTCTACCC